GGCTGGCCACGCCGGGGGGCCATGGGGACAGAGCCCCGGGCTGGCCACACCGGGGGGCCATGGGGACAGAGCCTCAGACTGGCCACGCCAGGGGCCATGGGGACAGAGCCCCGGGCTGGCCACGCCGGGGGGCCATGGGGACAGAGCCTCAGACTGGCTACAGCAGGTGACCACTGGGACAGAGCCCCACACTGGCCACACAGGGGAGCCACGGGAATGGAGCCCCAGACTGGCCATGCCGGGCGGCTGTGGGGACAAGAGCCCCGGCCAGGGAAAGGGAACAGGGCCTGGCTCACAAAGCCCAGGACCCGCTGAGGCCCGAGCTCTCGCTTCCATCCACCTCAGGAGACACAGCCCCGAAGGCCACAACCAATGGGAAGCAGGAGCAGGGCAGGGACTCACCCAGGGGGGAGGCGCTGGGCGCTCGCGGAGCTGGCCGCTTCTTCGTGCGGGGGCTGCTGGTGGGGGTGATGCCGTACCAGGGGTGCAGGCTCTTGGGGGTCTGCTCGGTGGGGGTTGGGCCAGGCGGGGCTGCTGCCGCCTCGTCTTCCTCATCATCCTCAAAGGGGTTGTAGGGTTTGGGCTCTCGCGTGGCTGGCCTCGGCTCTCCTTGGCTCTCTTCTCCCTCTGCAGGCCGCGAGGGAATCTCTGGGCGGCTGCCGGGTGGGAGAGGCGCTGGCTTCTTCTTGGGCTCTGCCTGCACCAGGGCGATCCATGGTGGGTCCTTCTTCTTTGGGGCTGCAGCTCTGGAGGAAGCAGAAACCAATCCACCCATCAACCACCATTTATTAAGCACCTACTGTGTGCCGGGCACTAGGCACAAAAGACCAAAATATGAGCTATAGTCCCTGCCCTCTAGGAGCTTATATTCTGTCGGGAGACACATATACGAGAGGCATCACGGTGGCATCAACTGGGAACTGGCCTCTGATCCAGGAAGACCTGGGTTCGAGTTCCACGTCTAACATATACAGGCTGTGTGACCCTGAGTAAGTCACTTAACTTCTCACCCTAGGCAACTCTCTAAGGCTATTAAGTCCTAAGAAGGCACTGCCCTGCTTTGGTACAATGGAACTTCTCACCCAGGACACAGAACAGACACAAAATGATACAAGCTAACTTTGAGAGGACGTGCACTAATCAGTAGCCTGAGTGATGAAGAGGGGATCAGGAAAGCCCCGGATCTGCCTCTTGAAGGAAACCAAGGAATCAGAGGTAGAGGTGAGGAAGGAGAGCCTGGGGGCCAGACTCGGCAAAGGTGCGGAGGTGGGAGATCAGTGTGTGAGTGAGGAAAAGCAAGGAAGCCAGTCTCGCTGGAAGAAGGGTAATGTCCAGGCAGGATGGGAAGCAGGCTGGGGCCAGGCCGTAACGCCAAACCGAGGAAGGGAAGGAACGACGAGACCAGTAAGGGGAGGAAAAAGGGAGGCATGAGAACGTCCCCAGAGGCCTTTGGGGGCAGCTGGCCCAGCCAGGACCAAAGGAGGAATTCTCCCTGACAAGCGGCCTGGGGGCCTCTGGACCTCTCAGAAATCGGCCTCTCTATGCCTCCTGCCCTTTGCCCCCGGCTCCCTCCTCTGGGGCCAAGCAGAGCTAGCGGAATGCCACCTCCTCGGGACATCCCTTCACGTACCCGAAGGCAGCTGCATCAGGTCCTTCCTGAGTCTAAACACCCCCAGTCCCTTCGACCACGGTGCCCGGTCGCCCCCCAGGCCAGCCTCCACTGGGGAAGCCTTTCAAGGAGGCACCTTAACCAGCTGGTCCCTCCTCCCTTTCACAACTCTGACCCTGGCCGGATGCGTGCCGGGCACACCTCTCAATCCCCCTCTTGTTTCATCAGCGTGGGCACACCCACCCCTCCCCACCGACCCAGACTGAAACCCCTCCATGTCTTCAGGAGGTACTGGGGGCCGTCCCTGAGGGGACGAGCCTCATTCGGGCCCGAGTCCCACTGGACCTTGGCCAGCAGGGCCCATCACTGGGCCCGTACCCCCAGCCCTTCCGGTCTCCTGACACCTGCTGGCTAGAGCTCGTATCTGAGACGGAGGCTGTGGGGGCCCTTCCCAGCCTGGTTTTCTCCACCTCCCGATAAACCCGTCCCTGGCACAGACATGAGAAGGAAACACTCCTGGGGTTCTAAGGAGGACTCAGGTCTCCAAGTCCAGAGCCCAACAAGAGGAGAGGAGTTCCTTAGTAGCTGTGCCCCGTCTTTCCCAGGCCTCCAGTTATGAAGGGGCGAAGGGCTCAGTCCTGAGGGACTGGTCCCCCTTACCAGTCAATCGCGGGGGAAAGGGCAAGAACGTACCTATCAGAGGCCTTGGGTGTCCCTCTCGGTTTAGGGACCGGGGGGCTGGATTCATGCACCCTTCCTAGGTGGGAAGTAAGAAAGAGACAGGTGTTCATTGGTAGTAGTGAGTGGACCGCCCCCCATCCCCAGTGGCCAAAAAGCCTGTATTTCCTGGAGAGTCCGAGGACTCTCTCCCCTGTGAGGTCATGGGCTTCTATCCCTACAGCAACTTCCTGGTCTAACAGGATGGAGCCCCCCCCCCCAAGTCACGGCATGATTAGATAAGCCACCTTTCCACAGGAAGCCGAGATAAAGAGATGTCACCAGAGATCGGGGATACCTGCAGACCTCACCTACATTGCAAGTGAGAAATGAAATCTAGGTCCCAGGCACCCAGAGGCATCCGATTTTAGCCCAGCCCCCTCCCCTCCCAGTTCTAAACAGAAGCACTGGGGAGTTGGTGTCCCAGTTCAGCTCCCAGAGGAGGGAGGGATGCCGGCTGAGTCTGCCTCACGCGACCTCCCCTGCCTCGCCCCCTCTGCCCCGAGGAGGAGGGCACCAGCTACGATGCTCCCCCATTCCAGCCACCAGAAGGGACTGGCTGGCCTGCATCGGTGGGGAGGGACGGGGACAGAAAGGGCTCAATCAGCCAAGATCCCACAATCTGGGGACGGTGCTTGGGACTGCTAAGAGGCAGGAGGTCAGAGGAAACGCCACACCCGTGGGCATGGAGGCGGGAGGTCAGAGGAAGCGCCAGGCCCGTGGGCATGAGACAAATGAGGCGTCAGAGGTCATCCGGTGCAGCCCCCTTACTCTGGAGAGGGACAAGAAGCCAGTGACCCAAGGTCACACAGAGTGGGCCTCTCAGGACAAGTCTGGCTCTTTTCCCCACAATGTCCGCCACATAATGATGCAGTGGACTGAGCCCAGAGCCCTGGCTTCTAGGCCTGGCGCTTGCCACGCCGACTGAGGAGCCCTAGGCTAGTTAACACCTCAGTAACCCCAGCAACTTCCCTGTGTCTGCACGTCCCAGAGCAGATGCTCATGGGCAGCTGTGAAGCCAATCTCTTGACCAGGATCTCCCTCCATCAATGACATCTTGGGTCTCCAAAAACCAAAAACAAAACCAGCCAGGAGCAGGATATTAGCTCCCTGTGACCCCAACGCAACGGCTTCAGTCAGAGTCTCGGCCCGGCAGTGTCGGGGGAGGCTTTCCGAGCCTGGCAAGCCACTGGCTGTTGGCCATCACCCCTGTTACTGGGCCCTGGGGGAGGGGCTGGAGAAGAGCAGACAGGGGGAGGCCTGTGCAGGCCCCTCTGCAGAGAGGGTGGAGGAGGAATGAGGCCAGGGCCAGGAGTCCCCAAGCCGCCTCACGCTCTCAGGGTCCTCATCTGCATGAGGAGGCCTTTCCAGCACAAACTCTGAGCCTGAGCGCCTAGCTGGGCGACCTGAGGCAAATCACAGCTCCCTGGGCTTCAGTTTTTCCATCTGTAAAATGGGGGTGGGAGGGGTGGGATTTGGTCATTCATTCACAAGCTGCTGTGCGCCAGGCCCACTGGGGACGCTGAGACGAGTAAAGCAATTCCTGCCCTCAAGCAGCATACATTCTACCGGGGGATACAACCAGTACACATAGAAGTAAATATAGACTATAGGCAAAGTAATACAAAATAATTTAGGGAGAAGGGTTAACGTGGATAGAGTGCTGGGCCTGGCATCTGGAAGACCTAAGTTCAAATCTGGCCTCAGACAATTACTAGCTGGGTGACCCTGGGCCAGTCACTTCACTTCTGCCTGCCTCAGTTTCCTTCTCTGTAAAATGAAGATGCTGCACCATTGAGCCTAAGGCCCCTTCCAGCTCCCTATCTAAATCACTGAATCTTCCTGGGCCTCACAAAGTGGTGTGGGGGGGCCTAGAAGGCTTCAAAGGTTCCTTCCAACTCTAGACCTGGGCCCACTCAAGCCTCCCCAAGCATGGACCTTTAACTTGGAAACAGACAAGTGTGAGTTGGCCAGGAGCCAGCTGTCGCCTGAGAGTCCACCAGGGGGCGCCAAAGCCTCCCACAGGAGCAGGGCCACAGAGGGCAGGGCCAACCAAGCACATGGGGTTTCTACCAAGGGGAGACTGGAGGCCAGGAAGGAGAGGAGACAGAGAGGAGAGAGAAAGAAGGAAGGGAGGAGGAGAGAGAGGAGAGAGAAAGAAGAAAGGAAGGAGGAGAGGAGAGAGAAAGAAGAAAGGAAGGTGGGGAGACAGAGAGGAGAGAGAAAGAAGGAAGGAAGGAGGAGAGACAGGAGAGAGAAAGAAGGAAGGGAGGAGGGGAGACAGAGAGGAGAGAGAAAGAAGGAAGGAGGAGAGAGGAGAGAGAAAGAAGGAAGGAAGGAGGAGAGACAGGAGAGAGAAAGAAGGAAGGGAGGAGGGGAGACAGAGAGGAGAGAGAAAGAAGGAAGGAGGAGAGAGGAGAGAGAAAGAAGGAAGGAAGGAGGAGAGACAGAGGAGAGAGAAAGAAGAAAGGAAGGAGGAGAGAGAAGGAAGGAGAGAGAGGAGAGAAAGAAGAAAGAAAGGAGGGGAGACAGGAGAGAAAAGAAGGAAGGAAGGAGGGGAGACAAAGGAGACAGAAAGAAGGAAGGAAGGAGGGGAGACAGAGGAGAGAGAAAGAAGGAAAGGAGAGACAGAGAGAAAGAAGAAAGGAAGGGGGGAGACAGGAGAGAAAAGAAGGAAGGAAGGAGGGGAGACAGGAGACAGAAAGAAGGAAGGAAGGAGGGGAGACAGAAGAGAGAAAAGAGGGGAGAAAGGCAGAACAGGAGAGGCAAAGGGGTAGAAACGAGAGAGAAGGAAAGAGAAGGAGGAAGGAACAGAGAAATGGGGGGTGGGGGAGAGGGAGCGGGGGAGGGGCAATGGAGAGAAAGAGGAGGGGGAGGGAGGAGAGCCCTCTGAGTCCACGAGGGGCCCTGGGCCCCAGGCGCCTGATCCCGCCTTCACTCAGCTCTCCAAGACTGCAAGTTAGAGCGGCCACGGCTTTGCACCACTGAGCTCAGAGGTCTTGCCCCCCTTCCCCTGCCCCCACCCCACAAAGTGGGCTCGATTCTTGGCCTGGGGAGAATCAGGAGCAGCCAGACTCCTGTGCCCCGGGACCTGACCAAACCAAGCCGCACTTTGAGAGCTCAGCACCACAGGGGGCACAACCTGACCCCGTCACTCTGGACCAGTCCCTGCGCCTCGGTTTCCTGGTCGCTGGAGTGGAGATGGCAACACGCACCCTCCCATCCCCACGGTGCTGTGGCAGGGACCACAGGCGCTGACAGGGATCTCTAGGATGCTCTGCACCAAGATGCCCAGGTGGCCTCCACTCACCATTCACCAGGCAGCCACCCTGCTCTCCAGCGCTCTCCCCCTGCACACTGGAGCGGGGTCGAGGGACAGGCTGGGGGCTGGCGGACGAGGCGGACGTCTCCGAGGCCTTCCTCGGGGCGGGGGTCGGTCGGACAGCTGGCGGAGAGGCCAGCTCCTGCGGCTTACTAGGGAGCGGGGGTTTGGACAGAGGCTGAGGCAGGGGCTCCGTGGGCTTCAGCTCCCCCCGGTCCCTCCTGGAGATGGCAGGATCTTCACCATCCTCCCCCACGCCGGCTGCCTCTGCCCCGTCTGCCCCCTCTGGGTGCTGCGGGGCCACTCTGGGCGTCCCCTCTGTCCGGCCCAGGGGGCCCAGCTTGCCCCGGTGCTGGGTGCACACAAATGTGCCTGCCTCTGGCCCGTTCTTGTAGGCTCCGGGGAGCAGGGTGCTGGAGCACTCCTTACATCTGTGGAAGAGACACACCAGTGAGCTAGGGCAGTGCCCTGGCCCCAGGAGCTGGGGAGCAGGGGCCCCAATCAGGGGATCAGCAATCCAGAGTTCAAAGGGACTTCCAAGGTCATCGAGGTCAATCCCCTCATTTAGCAGAGCCTGGGACCTTGGACCCAGTACTGGAAGGAGCCTCAAAGATCTGGCCCTCATTTTACAGATAGGGAAACTGAGGCCCAGGGAAGTAAAGGGACTTGACCAATATCACATGGCTAGTCCGGGGGCAGAGTCAGCTTTTGAACTCAGGCCTTGGGCCTCCAAGCTCAGCACGGCCCAAAAAAGCAGTTGGGAGCCTCCATCCCCAGAGACGTCACACGTAGCCAAGGACCTCTGGGGTGGTCCCAGGCTGGACGGCCAGGAGGCGGGTGGCCGCCCGCCCACGCACATGTGCTGCCCCATGCTCACCTGAAGCACTGGCGGTGATAGAGCTTGCCCTCCACCAGGTACCGCTGCACCAAGTGGACGTGCTGTTGACACGCAGCACAGGAGCTGCTGGGGATGCTGCGGGAGCCCTGCTCCGCCAGGCTTTCGGGAGCCACCCCCTCCTCCTCCTGCGGGAGAGAGCCAGCCCCGCCGGGGCTGAGGTCAGAGCCCCATTGCCCGCCCCCAGCCCTCCCGGGGTTCTGCCGGCACATTCAAGGTTCAGTCATTCTACAAACACGCATCGCCCTCCTCCTACGGGCAGACAGGGAGGCACAGAGACCATCCCTGCCCCCACGGGGTGCAGTCTGCTGAGGGGATGAGACACCCGGACAGATAACTGACAGGGTGCAACGGGCATCTCTGGGGGGTAGTAAGGGCCACTGGGCCCATGCCTGCAGAGGGGCAGCACCCCGCTACCAACGCAGACCCAGAGAATGGCCTGGGGGACGCTGAGGGGTAAAGGGAGAATCCCAGGTCCACAGCTGGAAAGTCCACTCAGAAACTGAGGCCCAGAGAGGGGAGGTCACCACGAGACTTGCCCAAGGTCACACCAAGGGTGGTGCTGGGAGGAACCCCCTCATTTTACAGATGAGGAAACTGAGGCCCAGACAAGGGAAGTGGGCGTCACAAGCTGGCCTATGTCAGAGCAGGTCTTCCTGCCTGTCCACACCACACAGGGCCTCCCATGAGAACCAGGCTGGGGAGGAACAGATGGATGCCATTGAGGTCTGAAGCTGGCAGGTGGCCCGTGAGCTGGGGGCATTCAGGCACTAAAGACACAGAGGGAGGCCCCGCAGCAGGACCCGGCCAGGGCTCTCCGGCCATCTGGGGGTCGGGGAACTCGTGGGAACATTTCACTAACTGGATTTCAACGGGATTGCGGCCTTCCTGATCTACCACGTTATATTTTAGGTATTCAAAAGCACTGCTCTGACAAGGGTCCAAGGCTTGGCCAGCCAGCCTGCCAGGACAGAGGAGCCCTGGCTACGGGCGGACACTCCTGGCCCTGACCAACTGCGTCCTTCGCCAAGCTCGTTTTTGGCCAAGAAGTGGGATTCCCCTGTGACTGTCACGTCCGGAGCTCCCTGGCCCATTTGGAATAGGGGAAGTGAGCCCGCTGGCCTCCCTCACCCTGGGGGGCAGGGGGCCTTCTGGCCTCACCCCATCCCCGGGGAGCCTCCTTCCAGATTCCCTCCCTCCCTCCTGACTCCCCAGATGGCCCAAGGAGAGGGCACCCACTGACCCACCTGGATCCTGCTACCTTCAGCGTCGGCATGGGGAGCTGCTTCAGAGGAGGAAGAGGAAGGAGCTGCTGGGTATTTCCTGGGTGGAGAGACGGCGGCTGGGGAAAGACAGTGAGAAGGAACCAGCTGCTGGCAGAGACCTCGGGACTCCTGCTCATGGCCGGGGGCCAGGAGCCCCAAGGTGTGGAAGTCCGGATGCAGCCCGTCCTCCCCATCCCAGGAGAAGAACGCTCCACCCACAGGGGGAGATGGTGAAGGCCGTGGGCCTCTCAGAGCTGGGGAGTGGGGAGTCCCCGGGGGTCCCCCAGAGCTGCCGTGGAGGGGATGCATTGAAGAGAACGGGCGGAGCCAGACAGCTAGAAGGGACCTCACAGGCCCTTCTGCACTTTGCAGAAGAGGAAACTGAGTCCTAGGGAGGCCAAGTGACTGGCCTAGAGTAAGCATCAAAGGTGAGATTTGAACCCAGGCCCCATCATGACACCAGAGACAGTGTACTTTCCAGGGTACTTCCAGAAGTGGGAAAAGGGGACAAAAGCCCAAAAGAAGAAATGATCTCAAGTGATGGACTGTCTGTCTGGATGGAGGTGAGGGGGGTTCATGCTTTGGACAGGGGGCTGGACAGGACGACCTCTGATGACCCCTGCTGGCTGCCACATTGTCCTGGTTCAGGGAGGAGGGATGGTGGCAATCCCCAACTCAGCAAAAAATCAGTCTCCACCCCCCACGGCCTCGGGTCCTTTCTGGTCTTTCTTTGTCCCCCCAGGGATGAGCACTGTGTCCAGCACATAGTAGGTCCTTACTAAGCACCTTCTGACTGACTGACCCCCAGCTCCCCAGCTCAGATCAGATCCACCTGGGAACCCCTCCCCCTCCCACATTCCAAGGTCAGGGTGGGGATGAAGAGAAGTGTCTGTAAGCAGGAAATGGGCAGGAGGGGCTCCAGGATAAGCACTGAGTGACCCCAGCCAGAGCAGGTTCCGGCCCAGCCGTCCAGCCCAGGAGGCGCCCCGGGAGGAGTCTGGGAACTCACCTGGGCTGGGGTTGGTAAAGTGGTTATAATACTGAGACACGTAGGTCATGATGCTAAGGCAGTCGGGAACGCTCATGGAGACCATGTCGTTGGGGTCCAGCAGGGCCGGGATGCCCAGCTCCCGCTCCGCCACCTCAAAGGCCTGGAAGGAGACAGGAGACGGCCTGAAACGTGGACCTGCCCTGCTCTCTTCCCCATCCCACAGGCTCCCAGGCACCCCGCCGTCCGCTCCCCCTTTTGTTCTAGGCCCATCTGTCTGGCACTCACCAGCCGGTTGTTTTCATAGACATTGTCCTTGGAAAGCGAGTCAAAATCCCTGGAACAGACAAAGGCAAGAGAGTAAGGAATAGACGGGGGCTCAGCAGCTTTGGTGGGAGAGGAGGAAGGGGGTCAGGGACCTGCCAACTGCAGCGGGGGCACGCCTGGCACTTACTGACCCTCCCCCTCCCATCTGTACAGAGCCTAGGGGAAGGAACCTTGAGTATTCTAAACACACAGAACGTTAAGATTAGAAAGGTCCTTAGAACATAGAATATTAGACCATAGAAGATCTTAGAACACAAAAGGTCAGAGCTGAGAGGGGCCTTAGAACAGGGAATGTCAGGGCTGGGAAAGAGCCTAGAACAGGGAATGTCAGGGCTGGGAGGGGCTTTAGAACAGGGGGTGTCAGAGCTGGGAGGGCCCTAAAACAGGGAAGGTCAGGCCTGAGAGGGGCCCTAGAACAGGTAAGGTCAGGCCTGGGAGGGGCCCTAGAACCGTGGATGTCAGAGCTTCCAGGAACATGAGAAATCATTCTAGCACTTTGGAGACATCCGCGATCTCATTCCACCCCAGAGGAATCTGAGAACGAGGAGTCAGCATGTCTAAACTCTACCAGCAGTCTGGAGTAGCCCACGACACACACACCCCAGCTCCCACTCTCCCCAGCACCCCTACCTTCTCTCTGGGGGGGGGGGTCCTGTGTGGGCCTTCAGGACCCTACACCCCCTCCCTCTGGCAGTCAGGGAAGAGCTGGGGCTCTTTACCACAAGGAAGGCGGGTTCTCCAGGAAGAACCCTGATTGGAGAACACTGATTAGGCACCTAAGGCGTGCCAGGCACTGGCTTGGGCGTGGGAGATCCTGAGATAAACAAGGGCAGCTCCCTTGTCCTAAGGAGCTTCATGTACATACACTCAGACAAACTGAATTCAAATTGTGTGACCTTGGACAGATCACTTCTCTCCCTTCCTGGGCTGCAGTGTCCTCATCTGTAAAATGGGTTTGGCCTAAATGGCTTCTAAGGACGTTCCAACTCCAGGTTTATCTATGATCCCAGGAGAGAGAGTTAGGCCTAGAGTCAGAAAGACCTGAGTTCAAATCCGGCCTCAGACACTTACTAGCTCTGGGACCCTGGGCAAGTCACTTAACCTCGGTCTGCCTCAGTTTCTTCAACTGTAAAATGAAGATAAAAACCTGCCTCCCACGATTCTTGTAAGGATAAAATGAGACCCTTGTAAAACGTTAGAAGTGTCTGGCACAGGGATGGGGAACCTGCAGCCTTGAGGCCACATGTGGCCCTCTAGGTCCTCAAGTGTGGCCTTTTGACTGAATCCAAACTTCACAGGACAAACCTCCTTAAAACAAGGATTTGTTCTGTACAACTTGGGCTCGATCAAAAGGCACGTGGCCTCGAGGCGCCAGGTTCCCCACCCCTGGTCTGGCACATAGTAGGTGCTGAATAAATGCTTATCCCGTCCCCACCTTGTTCCCTAATCCTGTAGGTATGATTCTGCTTGGCTCTGATGGCCTCTGGCGGTCCCTTCTAGGGGGCTATTACACTAAGTTGTCAGTGATCAATGGGGGCAAACCAGAGCTCCAGACTCATCTCACTAGAAAAAGTAGAGGAGGGGCAGGCCACTTTTAGCTGGGGGGTGGGGAGTATGGATGGGGGTGGGAATCCAGGAAGGCTTCCAGGAAGAAGCTGCAGCTGAGCCAAGCCTAGAAGAAAGCTGGTTTTCATGGGACTTGGAGCCTGAACAGACCTCACTTGGTCGGAGGGTCACACAATCGCAGACTTAGTCCAGCCCCCTTATTTTCCAGAGGAAGAAACTGAGGCCCAGAATGGTTCAGTGATGTCTCTGCTAGACCAGGTGGGAAGCCAAGTGAGCTGTCTCTTTCGCTACCTTTAAAGCTATCTCTCCTTAAGGCACTTAGCCGGGTTACCTGGCTCAGCTCCACCCGCACAGGATGGGGAAGTACGAGAAGGGGCCGTGGGCTCCGTCTGCTTTAAGAAACTGAGGCTCAGGGAGGCAGGGGGACTTAGAGCCCGAAACCTAGAGCTGGAAAGAGTCCCAAAGGCCTGTGACCTTACAAAGGAGGAAACTGAGGCTCAGGGAGGCATCAGTGCCGGGCCTGGCCCCGCAGGCAGGCTGCCAGCCCAGGCTGCTGGGTCCTTAATCCCCACCTACCCCAGCAGCTGTCTGCACTTGAATAATCAGGCCCCTTGCCTGGCCGTCCTAGGCAACGCATCATTTTCTGACTTAATTGTGCGTCTCATCGTCCCTCACCAGACTGGGAGCTCGTCTAGGGGCAGGGGTCTGCATCACTGCCTGGAGGCAGGGGCCCTCCCCCACAGGGCATGAGCAGGATTAAGTGGGGGGAGGGCAAGGGCAGGGCAGAGGTGCCCCACCCACTACGGCACGGGCACGGCTGTCCTGACTCTCTGACTCTCGGGGCTCACGGGGCATTTTCAAGGAGGAAGCCTGGGAGGGTTGGCTGGGCTGGGCTGAGCTGACGGGAGACTGTCTGTGGTTCCTGGCTTTCCTCCTGGCCATTAAAAACATCAAGATGAGAGAAACCTCACTCAAACGCTGACAAAGTACTCCCCTGGCATCGGCACTGGCAGGAAACGCAAATGTGGCCACCCCTGGCTCTTCCCGAGTGAGAGGCCCCCCAGCAGGACACTCCCGGGCCCAGGCAGTGCTTTGAGATCCCAGACTCCTGCCAGCTTAGTCCCCAGGGGCCCAGGAACCAGGATCCTGCAGGGTGCCACCTAGAACCTAGGATCCCAGAGCTAGATCGACTGGGGACCTTTAGAGACCCTTTCATTTTACAAATGAAGGAAACCGAGGCACACAGGGGTTAAGTGACTTGGACAGTGTCATACAGTGTCTGAGCGGAGATTTGAACCCAGGTCTTCTTAAGTCCAAGCCTAGTACCCTAAACACTCCACTATGGAAGGAGGGGCCTTAGAACAGGGAATGTCTGAGCTAGGAAGGGGCCTCAGAACAGGGGATGTCAGGGATGGGAAGGGGTTTAGAACAGGGGATGGCTGAGCTGGGAAGGGGCCTCAGAACAGGGGATGTCAGGGA